ACGAAAAGTCCGGTGGGTAGTCAAAAAAAGGTGGAATATAAAAAGTGACCACTTCAGCCGGTGAGAATTATGGCGTCGAAATTTTGAACGAGTGAGTTTGGTATACAGGGTGAAGGCGTCGTTGAACAAAAATATATTGTTTTTTGTGTAATATGTTAATTTTTGACACATCCTAAATCCAGGCAGGACTAATTTGAGTCGGAAACCTTTTTATGGTTATATTAATATAACATTAAATAGCGTTTTACTTTCATGAGCAAAAAATGCTATTCTGATGATGAATCAAAGATAGATCGCTAAAAACAAGTTTTTTTATTAAACTTTTTTTTTAGTTTAACTAAACACAATTTTCAATTGTCCGCATTGATACAAAAACATGAATTAATGAATTTTCTTAAGGAAGCTCACAAACACAATGTTATTAATGTATTAAACAAAAGTCCAATAGATAGGTGGCAAAAACCATCGAAACAAACAACTCTGACACTCATGAGTGACACTTCAATTAAGCTACAAAAACATATCCTGACATGACTCACCCTGTATGTTATCCTTCTTAGAAGGTCGGGCATGGTCACCGCGGGAGCCGTCCTTATTTTACGCCCATATATTACGGTCACACTAGTGACCATTCGCCGTTTTGGTATGGGTCGTTTTTTTTGCAGTGTTTTTTTAGGGATCCGTACACAAAGGGTGTCAACGGGACTCTATCACATATTTCGTTGTCTGTCTGTCAGCGAGATTTGTGTTATGAACCTGAAATAAGTAGAATGTTGAAACAGTTGAAATCTTCACAGAATGCTTCTGTTGCCGCTTTAATAAGAAAGTAAAAACAAAAAAAGTTTATACAAGAAACATTTCTTTTTATTTTAATTTAAAAATGAAAGCACCTTACACACTAGCTTTTAGTCGCAGCTTCGCCTGAATTTTAATGTATCACAGAAAGACATTTTCTTGCGCATGTCCAAAAACCATGGGAAAAAGTATACTATGTCTTTCCCGAAAACTATAATCCGGGCCTTTTCAAGGCGAGAGTGAATAGGCACTTACAGGGCAGATATGTACCATCCTAGACCGCATCCCACTTAACATCAGGTGCGATTGTGGTCAAATACCTGCCTTGTTATGCATAAAAAAAAAAAGTTTTTCCTTAACTCACGAACTTTTCTGTACAATTTCATTTTAATCAGTTTAGTGGTGTAAGCGTGAAAGAGTACAAGCATGCATCTATCTTCACAAACTTTCACAAATTATAATTTTAGTAGGAATGATAGGATACCCAATTTAAGTAGGTTTCTTGCGCTGCTTCTTCTCAGCACTGGCCCATTTGTTGTCCCGAAGCAGTGGTAGGGTTAAAAAATTTTGGGACGTGTTAAAGAGTTTTTTATAAGCCTATTTGCAAAATATATAAATTTTAATTTGGATAGAATAAAAGTACATGGTGGTCAGATCAGTTTTGTAAGATACGGAACCCGTTGTGCGTAAACCCGACTCGCACTTGCCCAGTTTCTTTTTATTTAGCGTCATTTCGTTCGAGAATTCATTGATTGAGACATAATTATTTATGCTAAAAGGTGGCAGTGCGTGAATCATGCCGTTCAGAAGTATCTATAAGGTTTTAAAGAACACCTAAGTAGTTAACGATTTAGGTAGGTTTTTCTTATCTTTTTTTTAACCGCACACGGACTTTTAACGTGTCTGTTAATTTGTGTTAACTTCAGAACATTTTGATTCGTGATTCAGAGTAGGTGTCTTTTTTATCGCACTCATTTGCTAGAATTTAATTTATTTGCTATAAAAGTGGTAACAAAGGATAAAATATTATTATAATCACACTTTTAGTCTTATCAGTTATTTTTACTAAAGATACGCCTTATAAATAAAGTTGGTTAGTTTGGAAATCAAAACTTAACTGCTTTGTATCAACAATGAGCTATAAATGAAAATAAGTAAGTATAATATTTTTACGTTTGTAATCTCAAACTAGACCAATTACGACAGAATTACCTAGTTTATGGACTACTAAGTAAGTGTAATTAGATTTATTTAAATTTAAAACGCTTTGTTTTCCTTAAAACAATCAAACTTGCATGAAGTTGTAATAGGAGCTTAAAGAGCTTAAAGCTTCAACATTTCCATGGACAGCATTCTAGAGACATTAGTCTAGAATCTAGATTCAGACATACTCCGTTCGAAATAGACTCGTCCGGGCATGTCGCAGTCCGTACCGACTAATTGGGCTTTTCGCAAAAAAGCTAAACCGCCACCGACAGTTTAAGTCACAGCAAATAAACCCTTATGTCCTTAACTTTAAGACATAACCTACATTATAGCTTTCCATGTAATTGCAAACCCGTTTCATGAAAAATTCATGCCGGAATGATTGAGTCGTTCACATCGCCTCGTAAATTAGAATTTTAAAATGGCCGACCCATGTTACAGTTCGATTGCTATTGCAAATGAAGTTATGTACCTTTTTTTAGCCAATTAAGAAGTTATATTTTAATTAGAGCCGCACAAGAAAATTAATTTGTTAGGTTTGCTACATCTTCATAGATGAACTAATGATTTATTGAAGGTAAAAATTGGCGATCGAAAAGTTTAAAAAAAAGTAGTTACGACAATTATTGTTCATGTTTTTCTTTTATAATAAAATATAGCTATGTCTAAGAAAAGCTTCCAGCTGTGAAAACTAGTAATTCTACTAGAAAATATACCCTTTAAGTGCAATAATTGCGGTTTAATGATATTATTTAAACTGCATTAAATGCCTCAAGTGACATTTATCTGCTATCACCAAGTAATTATAATTAGCAATCGAATGATCTTAGACGATTACAATCGTAATACCGTATTTTATTATATTTAATTGCAGTCGTAAAGGTTATGGTGAATCTAAAGTTTCTTATAAAAATAATTGCACTGCATATAAATACAATTGTTGAAGGCTTAGAGTAATTATGGGGCTGTGCAGCAATTATTATTTATTATTTGGAAAACAATAAAATAAAGATAAAACAATAAGACGTGTGGACGCGCTTTGCCGCGGGCGGTGCGCGCGCGCACACAGCAAACACGCTCAATTGAGTTCTTCAAAGCACACTCCTTTACGCCATTTTTTAAATATCAAACTTTAAACCCTTTTAAATATTAAATCATTAACATCTTGTTAGTGTTCTATGTTAATCATGACATCATCGACGCATAATTTATCGTTGGACATGATAATTGGAAAATATAGTGAATTTCATAACAAAACAATGCTTAGACGCTCATAATTTCTAATTTGAAAACATTGCGAGCGATTTAGTCCACACAAAAAGTTCGCCCGCGCAAAATCTGTAAAACTTGTTCCGTAAGAGATTCAAAACTTTCTTCCTATTAGGAGTGAAATCTGTTAGTATCGCGCTCCTTGTCGCACCCGTGTCCCGGCAACACCTGATCCCGTGCGCGAAAAAGACAGAGTACATGAAGACGTCACGCGGAGCGAAGGCGCGGGATGTCTTGCGCTTATTTTAAGTTATTTTATTTGTGTGCGCCATCTCTTTTGTTTTCTTTTCTCAAAGCTACGTCTTTGTTCGGTACGGGGGCGCAATCGTCCGAGGCTGGTAAGTTGGATAATTTCTTTATCCCGGTCGGCCCACCCGACAATTTTCTGGCCGTATTATTATGAACTTGATTTGTTTAATAATTTTATTACTGAGCGCATTGCGAACGTTCCATTGTGTTTTGTTTGCTCTTTCAGTGCTTTCATTTTGTTTCCTATCTCACGTGGGAAATTTTACTATTGTTCGTCTGTCTTTACGATTNTGTCTTTACCATTAACAATAGCCTTATTACTAATTTCATTTCTATCTGCTACATGACCATTTAATTCGATATTAGTCTTAAAGTATCCAGCTGTTATGATCGTTTTTGCTCACAAACGTCCAGACACATTACGTCACAGAATGCGGTCTGAGTCGGGTTTTTGACTTTTTATTGTGCGGAACCCCACTGCTAGGCCTTGAGGCTTGCACCATGATGTCCTCTGCGATACCCGAATGCCTGGAATAGGGGTAAAAAGAGCAACTTGGACCTTTTGTCGTCGGTTGACTTGTGTTATTGTCAGGAGATTGCTTACTCCGCCTGACGCATTTGTTGTAACTCGATACCATCGCGAGAGGTGACTACTCAATCGAAAGTGAAGTTTGTTGGTAGTTGATTTGCACCGTTTAGTACCTTTGATAGGGCAAAAAAAGGGAAGGAAAAAATAAGTGTAGAAAAAAAATCCTTACAGAGCCTTTTATAGTCTTTAACTTCAAATTCCTATGTTCTTCTGATTATTATCGTAGCGGGACCAATAGCAGTTTAACTGGCAGTCAAGCTGTGGATCCTAGCTACACAGGAGTTGCAGCGGTGGGAATGAGAGGTTGGAAGTATCGTGATAAGCGTCCTAGACTAACGAAATTCCAAGAAACTTGGTAAACACTTAACCTTAGTTAGATTAGACTCTATCTTCATCATCATCAGCATCTACTGATGAACTTAGGTCTGCTCCAATGATTTCCATATTGACGATTGGTAGCGGCCTGCATCCAGCGCCCTCCTGTACCGTCGGTCCACCTTATGACTTTATCTTCTACTCTCTCTTATTCCGTAGAATTTCCTTTGTCTCTTCTTGCACCTCCTAATTTAATCATATTGTTTTCAGGCTAGCCACTAGCTTAGTAAATATTCTCGAACCTTGGTAGATAAGACCCTACTGTCTTACCTTGCAATAGGGTCCGTATTTTTCTTCTTATCCTGTCGACAACAAACCTACACATTATGAATAAATTTCTTATTCTTATTCAGTGTCAGCCCAAAACTCCGCTACAAGAGTGTCGTTGTCAGCAGCATTCATTAAATCCTCCTGCGTGCAGTTGCTCGGGCACTCAAAGCACGACTCAGGGTCCGTATTGCAAAGATCTTTTTTATTATTTTCTTCTTGGATCTTCTAACTTTATCATTGTTTTCAGGTTAGCCGCAGCAGCAGCAGCGGCTGCTGGAGCTACCAGCGAGCTGAGCTATCTCCTGCATCCAGCTTACCGTCCCGTGCCATACGACCACCCCCTGTACGGGGCTAATGCCTTAAGAGGTAAGTCCATTTGATTAATAAAGGGGTTATTAAGAAGCTGGTGTTACGGACAGGTAACTCAAAACATCATCATTTCATTACATAGGAATTAAATAAATAACGCTTCTCTGTCTGAACAGTTCGCATGTATACCTACCATTTCTGTTAAAGTTACGTAGTATTTCTCCATAAACATCAGAAACATAAATTTATGAAAGTCACCCGTCTCTACAGATATTTTACCATTGAATTTTGAAAAGTCAACAACGTATAGTCTTATATGATAATAATAGTCATGGTTAGGATCATATTACATAGCTTTTCAATTTATCAGCAAAAGGTTTTCAAAAGCCTTCCAATAGAAAAGCCAAGTCCAACTAAGATGATTTCCTAGAATCTACACTAGTCACTCTTTGACTGTGACCAACAACAATTTTTAAATCTACTTTGTATTATGTATGTGGTGTATTCATAGTATGAGTAGTAAGCTATGTAGAATCATCACTTTGCAACCTAAGAGCTTTCATAAGTTACAACAGTTAATTTCATTGGTCAAAGTCGTTCACCACTTAAATAAGTGGTTGAGTCGCCACGCCTTGTCCGCGGTCAATCGGTTGGCTTCACTCGGCTTGGATTTCTGGTGCTAATTATCATTATTATAATTAATGCGATCATTAAAATCATTACCATTAACACACGTGATAAACATGCTCACGTTGCTTTTACATAAATTATGAAAAATGATTAACACATCAAGTTCATCAGAAAGCTTAAATCAACTTCATTGTCAACTTACTTTGGGGCTAGATAGCGCTGTGTGAAATTGTCGAAAGATAAAGATATTATATTATTATTATTATTATAAAGATATTGTTATTTATGAATTTTAAGTAAAAAATAGTCTACCGTTTTTCAGGTGGTACGTAAAAAATATGCATTTTTTTTAGTTTTTCAAGAGGTAAAATATGCATGCAATCGTAATTGATATGGATTCTTCTATAGGTTAATAAGAAAGCAAATGAAAAGTAAAATATTAGCAATTCATAAACATAATAAATCTTTAAAAAAAAGTTTTTTACAAATATGAATGTTTTGATTTAGATAGGCACTTTGTATTTTTGAGAAAAGTTTGGACATTAGTTTTTTTTTAACTTTAGACATTGTTCAAAATGTCCTATGTCTGTGTTTTACTGCCACTAAAACTAAAAGCAAGTGTTTTGTACTTTAATAAAAGAGCTTACTGAAGATTTTTCTTTCCTTAGTTTCCTCAACACTTTAACTGTAAAATTTTAGTAATTTATGTTTCTATCTTTTTTTCTTCAAGAGTTTATTATATTTTATCTTTCTCCCTTTCTTTCTTTCCTGAATAGCAACAGTCCACATTGACTTGCATCAGTTTCCAAGACCATAAGTTTCGTTTTACGTTATCAGTTGCATTCGACCGAATGTAACCACAGCCGGGTGATAAGCCGCAATATTACACCGATGGCGAATCGCAGCATTCCCAGACATGGTGATTATATTATGTTTTACAATAAAATTGAATTATGAGACTGAAGATGTAGCATTTTACATGAAGACTAACGCCCGTGTTCACTAACATTACTATGAGGTCTCACAGTGCGCATGTACGCACAGGGTCACACACGAACCAATCACAGAGCTATTTTCAATGCTGTGCGTTCGATTTGCTGCTTCACTAAGCAAGTATCATTTGTGAATAGGTTAGTTTTATACTAACTGACATAGTTTTGCTTAATTTCCAATCTGCATACAACTATGGGAAAATGCATCTGCTATAGGAGTTTACCTAAACAACTAAACTTAGCTCTTGGTCTGCAAGTCTGAAACCAGCAGTAATTAGGTATGGATTACTACAAATTTTCAGCTATTCGTAGCAGTGAGATATTAAATAAATAAATAAATACCTATCTTTCCTACTTTTACACATCGTCATCTTGTCTCTATCTACTTTACTACTTCTTATTACTTTTTTGCCAATTTAAAGTCTCTTAGTTTCTGCTTTTAAAGCCTCTTCGTATAATCTTTCAGTCATATTTTCAACATTTCTAATAATAAAATAATATTAACTTTCAAATAACCCGACCATTTCTTGGTCCTGAAATTGCAATAACAAAACAATAGCGTTCACCAAAGCTCTTCCATTTTGAACTTTACCCCAACGACTTAACGATCAACGTGATCCAAAATAAGGTCCACTGTCCATCTCACAAGCGTCGCGAAAGCCCTCGCTATCGCTTCAATTTATCTATACAGAAAAGTGTTAATTAGACGGCGAGCTCACGACTGCTACCATTTCGTTTCTAACTGCCATTTGAATGTCAACTGTAAGGTTTTAAACTTAGGGTTTAAATTAAGTTTGGGGTGCATTCAGATGACAGATACGTAAAGCTGGCTATTAAAGGAAAGACCGTGTTTGACTGGACCTGGAATTGGCGTGGTTTGAATAACGAAGGCATTTCGGCCTTCAATTAAGACGTTTCGCCTTTTAAAGCTAGTTATTGTTAGAAAGCCACTTTAATTTGCGTGCAGTTTTTTCGAGATAAGTGCCTATTCGAGATTTTTTTTAGCCTTACTATTTGAGACAAGGAATATTTTCATTGATAACCTCATACATAAATCAGTTTGTAATAAATACTTCCTAATTAATGATTACTTTATCAAGATGAAGCAGAAATCTCTTTCATTTTAGTTTCATCGGACTAATTAATTTACTGCAGCGACTAATTTTCAGTAGGTACCCATTCTACGTTTTCGAACGTTTCAGAATTATGTGTTTTGCTTTAAGCGCACTCATCTTTAAACTAACTTTTTATATTAAATTAATCTTCGAGTAAAAAGTGAGCACGCTTAAAAGGCTTTGTAGGAACTGTTTTTTGCAACATCCCGCATAAAACCGATCCGTTAGAATTTGTAATTCAAATTCTACGTGTGCTCACACAACAGTCCAGTTTCCGCGATACTGCATTACTGGATCCCTCAAAACAAGCCCTAAGCTGATCTCAATCCAGAAACCGGACCATAGAGTGAAATTTGATCTAACAAACAAAAGCATCGCTATAATAGACAAAGATCCTCCATTTACCAGCGCTTTGAAAGGGGTAGACGGTACTGGGATAGTTTGCCTATAGACGCCTCCTCTGATATTACTGGGACCGTAACAGATGCACGTGCATTAATGCGCTTGGGCGAGCTTTGAGCGAGGAGAGCTAGCGATTATGACTTGTATAAATCTTTCAAAAAAGCTAATCGAGTCGTAAAATCACCTAGCCTGAACCAAGAGTCTCATCTAATGATAAGTGATGATCAGACCCAAGGTGGAAACGAGCTTCACCCGGAATCCTTAACCACAGAGGAACTGGCTATCTTACCTCTAGCTGCCGGAACACAACAATGCTGTTTAGCATTGTTATTATGGCGACAGACTTGAGGTAAGATGGTGGTAGCTAGCCAGGCGGACTTAGAACAAGCCCTACCACCAACCAAACTGAACAGAAAAATCTGCCCCTACTGGGAATCGAACCCGGGACCTGTGCGTCTGAAGCAGGTGGTCTTACCACTAGACCACAGAGGCGGTTTTTAAAAACATCTCGATACCATGGTATTACTTGTTCTAAGTCCTCCTGCCTGGCTAGATACCACCATCTTACTTAAATCTGTAGTTATAACAACAACGTTAGCAGCATTGTTTTCGGTAGTTTGAGCTAATATAGCCAGTTCGTCTATGGTTAAGGGCTTCGGGTACCTATAGCTCACCTCCACCTGCCATCAAATGGGATGAAGGCCAATACTTTCGCCAATTTTGTGTGCACTCCGTGTCCAAATTTTTACTTATCTAGAAATGATTAGTTTTTTGTGGAGGTAAGATAGTCAGTTCGTCTATGGTTAAGGATTCCGGGTATAGCTCGCTTCCACCTTCTTGTCAGATCTTCATTTCCATCATGTGAGATGGAGGCCAATGCCAGATATTTGCTTTTGCCAATTTTGTATGCACTTCGTGTCCAAATTTTCCCTTAACTTATGAAATACTTATCTAGAAATGATTCAGTAGTTTCTTGTGGGGGTAAGATAGCCAGTTCATTTGTGGTTTAGGGTTCCTGGTGTATCTCGCTTCTACCTTCGACTTTCTCTTGTGACTTAGACTCCACCAGAGCCAAGGTACCTGAAACTCGCCTGCACAGCGCATTACCGATTCGCCGTGGCCAACCTTCGTTCCCATCCTGCAGATGGAGAGCTATTAATCAGATAAGCAAATAGATGTTTGACATGAACGCTTCAATCAGCGTAGGAGTAATGTGGAACAGGATATATGCGGCGTTTTTGTAGGTACTTAAGGAGACTTATCCAACCACACTTTCCTACTATCACTGCAACTCCTGTATGCCAGGACCTACAGCTTGACCGCCAATAAAAACCCAACCAGTGAAGGTCAAGTTTGTCCCGGGGGATCTGACTGATTTGGAACCCACAAGAAAAGCAAAAACTGCTCACTGAAAACAAAAGCAAAGCCAGTGTCTTATGTGGTTCTAACAGATTACATTAATAATATAATGTGCTGATACTTTGCAGTTAATTTCGTATCTAATAATTTTATTATTGTAGTTTTACACTGATTCTTTAGTCCAAAGAGTAGAAATTTATGATCTTTTTACTCAATTAAAATATTTTACATACTTCAGTAGTATGGTAATAAAAACCAAACAGTACCGAAAGTAATAAAAAGAAATCCCAGCATACTTAAAATACGTATTAATTTAACATTATAATTAACTCAGTTGCAATATGATTAAGCAAAAAATTAAGTTAATTAAAAAATCTCAAATTAAACCCCAGTAACTGGTTCGGATTAAATTACCCACCCTTTTATAGGTCGCACTGACCAATAAACGTGAAACCTAACCCTGCGCGCACGCACCGAAACTGTTTACGCCAAAATAACAAAAAAACTGTATACAGGGTAGCCGAAAATGCTGTTAAAAATATTATTACTTTGCATTAGA